AGGGACAGCCGCTGTCCAGACGGCCATCTTCTGTCACCAGGGACTGGGGCAAGGCCACCAGCCTTAGGAAAGGGGAACCTAAGTGGCTGGTGGCTCAGAAGGGACTGGGCCTGAGGCACTGGTTCCTAAGCTGCAATCTCACGAGGGACCGTCTCTAACACCAGATGCCAACTGCCCACTTGCACGGAGACCAGAGCAGCACGGGCTGCGGCAGGTGGGAGAGAAACTGGGAAACTCCCTGGCAAGTGGAACGAGGAAACTCAGACAAATGGCTGAACAAGTGGCCGAAACGGCTAATTAACAGCCAGCTGACAAATTATAAAACTCTATCCTCCCTAAGCAAAGACACTTCAAAGCCGTGGTCTACAGCCGCCCCCAGCCAACATGCCTCAGAGCCGTGGTTTAGACCTACCCCCCCAGCCAACATACCTAAGAGCAGGCGATTTAAATCATCTTAGTCAGGAAGAGAGATAACAAAAAGCAACCTAAAACCAAAGCCCGAGTAACCCAAGATAAAGACAAAACTAACCAGAGAATGACCTCTGACCCCAGCCTACACTCATTTTGATACATGAGCACCCTAAAGGACACACCGGAAATCTAATGCATATTCTGTTGAGATCCCCCCTGGGACTCCCCTAGAATTCCCACCTATAGAAAAGAGATAAAACCCTCAGGGCAAAGGAAGTCAGCTCGGCCTTTGGATTTCTTTATCTGGTTCTTCAGTAAACTTACTCTCACCTTCACCCGGACTGAGTCCCGGACTCGCCTGGGCTGGGACCCGTCCTGGTGACCAGACCAGAGCATCACGTCACACGCTTCCGCACGTCCTCCCTATAGGTCGGTCCACGTGGGGACGGGAAGCGTAACTGGGCGCCCGTGGCTGCAATCACACGGAGGGAGGCACGTGGAGCTGCGTTTGTGTAGTTCTTTACTGAGCAAACGTTGGCATCAAACAACCGCTGGGGAGGGGCTTCGGCGAGGAGGCAGAGGGAAGCCTGCGGCCACAGTGGGGCCGTTTGCCTTCTTCTTCTTTTTTTTTTTGTATGTAAATAATTACAAACCAGAAGACTCAAAATAAGCCTGAATAACACTGCGAGCCTCACTGACCTTCTGCTCTTTTGGCTCTTGAGGTTTTGCGGGCTCTGCTGGTGGTTCTGTACTTTGGGACCTAAGGCATGGTGCCAGGTCAACCTGCTCTTCAGGAGGAATAGAAGACACAAGGATGATAGGCTTAGCCGACTCATTCTCCTCTTAAGATCCTCGATATCTTTCTGCATGTCTTCCATTTTCTTTTCGTTTTTCTGAGCATACTCGAGAAGTTGATGCAAAATGGCCATGATTGCATCCGCTGGAGTCTTAGCTGCATCAGTCCGTGCAGCCTAGGATCTTGTGAGGAGCTTGAGCTTCTTGGGCGTTCAGGTGAAGCGGTTTGCACACTTGAAGCTGTGCCATGGTTTGCACAACAACGGCCCTGTTAACCAGTCCTGGATCTTCAAGTTCAACAATATCAGCAACCTCTTCAGATTCAACAATTGACATAAATTCGTGGTGGGTCTTTTGGACAGTGGAGGTCCACCCCGCGCGTGTGCGTCACTTGTGGCGTCTTTTGGGTGATTTCCGTGTCTTTCTGGTCCTTTTGGATGTTGTTGGCCTGGCTGCTGGCTCGGCTGCTGCTGCGGACGCTTGGGGTGATGTTTCTTGTTTTGTGTGGGGTCCGGAGGGTTGTGGTTGTGACATGGTGTCATGTTTTTTGTTAATTCTGGCTAGGAGGCTGTTGCTCAGATCTCCAGAGAGCTTCGGTTAGAAGTGCAAGGATATCTTCAGACCTCGATGGAGTTATGCCGCCTGGACCACGAAGAGCATCCTTAAGATCCTCATCACTGACTCTAAAGACCTCTTTCAGCCCCTCGGCGTCTTCCTGACTCATCATCCTCTTCTTAACAGGAGGCTGAGCGAGCGAGGGCAGTTTCGATTTCTCTATCTGTGAACTGCGACAATGACTCCTTGGTTGTCTTGTAGTCGCGAAACATACCATCCACACTACGCTTTCTCGTGTTTGCAACTTTGTACAGGTTGGGATAATTGACAGGAGCCCATCTCATGCTGGGCCAAGCGGAGGCACTTGATGTAAGGGAAGGCACTGACACCATGTTGCTCACGGAGCTCCTTCTCAGCTTTAGTGAAGGAAGGCCTTGATCTCGGCGCCTACTCCGGGAAGCACCGAAGCGTGAGATATCTCTCATTCAGGAACGACTTGATCGTAAGGTAAGGAGTCATCTCCTCGAAGGCTGACACGAGCTTAACCTGCGAGATGAAGGCTTCTGCAGTTGGCACCAGAGAGCTCTGCTCATCAGCAGGCAGCAATGCGTGAGCACAACAACATCTAGGCCCTTCTCAGTGGGCCACATAGCTGTAGTCCTCGGGTCAAGGACAGGGTCTGTCTCCACTGGAGGAGGCTGGACACCAGGCTTAACAGTAGCATAAAGAGCATAAAACCTCCGTCCAGTTAGTGTATTGGGCTCTGTTGGGGCTTCCTGATCATATGGTACATTATGGCCAAAGAGCACTCCCTGACCCCATTCGCAAGCTCCGGATCAGGCTTGATAGGCGTTAACGACCTCCACGGTTAGAAGGGACTGGGCCCAGTAGGCACTCCTCTATTCTCGTAAATGTATTGGTCGAAAGGCTTTCCTCTTATATCATATAGGTTCGGGACACGGGTAGCAGAAAAATTCCTCCAGGGCAACACTTCCTCCAACCGTAACAGAGGCAATTGACCTTGGCTTTGTTATAGCAACTGTACCTCCGTTTGTTGACAACCTGGTTCCTCGGCGGGAGGAAGATCTCCTGTGCCTCTAGGTCTCTGATCTCCATTATTATGTAGGGTGTCCTGTTTGCCTTCTTAGCTGCCAGCGTCTGAACCCTCTTCTGCCTGGAGGCCTCCCCCCAATGAGAAGCAGAAAGCCTGCCTCCTGTTACAGAATGGATGTCAGATGATAACCTTTCCACTCTCCTCTCCTCTCCTCTCCTCGCCTCTCTTCTCCTC